TTTTTTTTTGTTTTCTCAAGTGTGTTGTTCCTAGGGAAGCGGAGCCCGGCCTTCGCGCAGCGACCGGGCCTTCCCTTGGCCGACCCCCCTTGGGCTGCGGCGCGTATACGGGAGTGCCCGCGGCCGATAGCTGAGCGAGGTACTGGTGGTTTAAACCACCAGTACTTGGCCCAGCTATTGAAGTCGAGCCTGAATACGCCCTGCGCGCCGATTTTCGTCGAGCCTTGAGGGTCCAGCACCCGATTTGAAGCATGTGGTGGCTGGCACAGGTACCGCCCCTTTTGCTGGACCTGTTGCTAGCAGCTGGAGCGAAACGATAGCGGGCTCCCTTGTTTTTTTTTTTTTTTTCACGTCGTGGTATATTTTTATTTTTCCTTTTTCATGCCATTTGCTCTCAGCGTCCATGCATACGTTTCCACATGCCACGGAAAACCAACAGGACACATAGCAGCCTAGTGGCCCGTTCTCCTTGGGCCAGCCACCTTGCTCCCCCGTTGCACTACCGACCCTTTTCCGAACCCCGAAAAACGCGTAGCGTTAACGCTAAGGGTCCGCGGCCGATGTATGGGCCAAGTACTGGTGGTTTAAAACTTGTCTTAGTACGTTCCTACCTACCCTAGTACTATGACTATACCTATTCTAACCTGGACTACATGGCTACTACTGCACTGGCCTATGGAACGGCTAGAACCCGGCCCAATACGGTCGGGAGGAACATTCTAATTCCCTTTGAAGAAATGACACTCTCCTACCCTCCCTACCCTTTGCGGTTTAATGTGGCCGCCGACCGGAACCGAGTGTGCCTGGTTCATAAAAAGAAGTCTCACATGGCAAAGAAAAATTGCACAAGCCCAAACAATATATCCTAATTCCTACTCCTACTCGCACCAGACCAACCGAACCCTACTCACTTCAACCACCTTGAAATCTCTAATCTTCCTTGTGGGGAAATCTTAGCCAGTCGACCCTCCATCGCCCAGGTTTCTTTGAACCATGTCAAGCCTGCCTGCCTCTCTCCTCGCAGAACCCTTCGAACCCAGCCAACTATGATCTGGGTCCCCACCATGCATCTGAAAATTTTCTCAGCCTGTGTTTCCTGAAGAGGTTCTTCTTGAAAATGCCTACCATTCCTGTCCAGCTAGATAGTCCACAACATTGTCAGTCTGACCACCTCTGCTATGTACTCTCACCCTTTGTTGCCTGCAACATCAGGGGGCAATACTCCTTGCAAAACCCATCTCTTGCCAGTCAAATTATCTTTGCCGGAGAGGGTCACCTAGTGTCTCTCCCACCATTTTCACCACTTTTTTGTAACCTCGCATTCCCACCATAGATGTTGCATTGATTCTGTGGCGTTTGAACATCTATCACATTGAATTCTCACCTCTATCTGACAGTCTTGAAGCCATTTGGCGGTAGGGACTACCAGATGAGATTGTAGTCAGGCCAGAGAAACCAGCTTCTGGGAGGGAACTACCTTCAATTGTGACCAAAGCCTGGTCAATTCCTTTTTTGAGGGTGGTTCTATTTCCGGGCATTGGCATTGTCATCTGTCTGCAATAATTTTACTAGCGTGAGGCAGCTTCCTGCGTATTGCAAGCACCAATTTGGAGGATAGGTTTCTCAAGCCCCAGGATGGTTCGTTGTCGACCTACTAGCCCCATGCTTCCGGTCTATTTTCATATCACGTAGCGGAACTGCATCCGCCACTACAGACAGCACATCCGGTTCATCTGGGGATCTCGACGGAAGGCGGCGTACTCTGATTTCCTCGAGACCGCGATGAGGTGCGAAACTACAGACCTATTTTATTGCTTAATGTTAGTTACAAGTTGTTAGCTAAAATGTTAACGATAAGATTAGGCAGGTACCTTCCGAGCTTAATAGGGGAGGAGCAAAGGACATTTGTCAAGGATTGATCAATCTTTGAGAATGTAGTGACATCTATTGAAACGCTGGAACTTATCGACAGAGACGACATCGACATCACGGTCACGGTGCTAATGCTGGACCTAGAAAAAGCGTATGACAGGGTTAACTGGGCCTTTGTGATGACCACGCTGAAAACTATGGGCTTTGAAGTGAGCTTCTGCAAATGAGTGGTGCCCCTATATGGTAATGCGACGACTGCAGTTTGCGTGAATGGTCTCCTCTCAGGCGAGTTCTCTCTCTCAAGATCCCTACGTCAGGGTTGTCCTCTGGCCCCCCTGCTGTTTGTGATACAATTAGAGGTTCTGCTCAGTAACTTGAGATCTCACCCTGAGTATACAGACTTAAGACTACCGAATGGGAAGGAATGCAAAGTTAAAGCGCTTGCAGATGACCTGTTTGCTGTTTCAGTGAACACAGTGGACTCGTTGAAAGCCTTGAAGGCCTGTTTACTAATCTACGCAGAACTATCTGAAGCAGCGGTAAATTGGTCGAAGTCCCTTTTCTTTCTACCAGAGCAATTTAAAAGTGCAGTGGAGTCGGGGATGGAACGGGTGTCCGCTGGCAATGCGGAAAGATTCTTGGGTGTTCATGTTGCTCTGGGTGATTGCTCTTAGGTACAAAACGAAATTCTCGCTCAAAAACTGGCTAATTGAATCCGCTGTTGGGGAAAGGTCAGACATTTGTCCTTAATGGGAAGAGAATTAGTCTTGAAAGCATCAGCATTCGCTCTGCTAGGATATGTAGGGACTATTAGAAAGTTTTCAGGCGCATTACTGAAGTCAATCAAGGATGCCTCCTGTCGTTTTTTGTGGAAACCGGAAAGCCAGAAAAATTAAGGATTCTTACCTAAGGTGGCATGGGAAGTAGTCTGCAGACCTCGGGAGGAAGGAGGGTTAGGGCTCTTGGACCCGAAGACCCAAAACTTAGCACAGTTGAGCAAGTGGGTGGAGAAAGCAGCGGAAAAAGGGAACAAGGCGGATTCGGTGGCCATGGCAGAAATCTTGTTGGCGGAGGAATGAGAACTCAATAGGTTGTTTGATGTATGAGTAGCAATATTTCATGACAGTTTCAGCAACAAACGCATCAAGTCGCCCTTTTGGGGAGAGGTTATTTCAGCATGAAAAAAAGTCAAACCTCCTCTGAGAAAACCCCCAACAATAAAGGCGGAGGTCAATAAACAACACCACTTCGATAACCCATACATCAGAGGCTTGGAAGGCTTCCCCGTCCCTGCAGATGCCAAACCAGGGAAATCCAGAGACCTTTGGGATGATCTGACAAACTCTTGGACGTCAGAAGAGCAGTTGAAGGACAAGTTGGGTCAATTGCCACATCAGGGAGCCAGACTGATGAAACTAAGAGAAGCCATCCCACGGGATTGGGTAACCCTCATGGGCCCAGAGGGAGTTAACCCGGTGGGATCCTGGTATATCGGGAGACAAAGTGGAGACACTCAGTTTTACAGACTTCAGGAATGGATT